CTGTGAGACAGCTGAAACCATGTCTCATACGTCTGTGAGACAGCTGAAACCATGTCTCATACGTCTGTGAGACAGCTGAAACCATGTCTCATACGTCTGTGAGACAGCTGAAACACGTCTTCATTTGTCTGTTAGACATCTGAAACCCATGTCTTCATACGTCTGTGAGACAGTTGAAACATGTCTTCATATGTCTGTGGGGTGGTTCTTGAAGCTCTGACTCCAGCTGCAGTCCACTCTTTGTGAATCTCTCCACATTTTTTGAATGAGTTTTGTTTCACAATCCTCTCCAGGGTGAGGTTATTCTTATTGTACACTTCTTTCTACCACATCTTTTCCTTCCCTTCGCCTCTCTATTAATGTGYTTGGACACAGAGCTCTGTGAACAGCCAGCCTCTTTTGCAATGACCTTTTGTGTCTTGCCCTCCTTGTTCAAGGTGTCAATGGTCGTCTTTTGGACAACTGTCGAGTCAGCAGTCTTCTCCATGATTGTGTCACCTACAGAACTGGACTGTGAGACCATTTAAAGGCCTTTGCAGGTGTTTTGAGTTAATTAGCTGATTAGATTATGGCACCAAATGTCTGCAATATTGAACCTTTTACAATATTATAATTTTCTGAGATACTGAATTTGGGGTTTTCATTTGCTGTCAGTTATATTCATCAAAATAAAAAAATAAACATTTGAAATACTGTATATCAGTCTGTGTGTAATGAATGAATATAATATACTATACAAGTTTCACTTTTTGAATGGAATTATTGAAATAAATCAAAATTTTCATGATATTCCTATTTTATTGTATTATTATATATACATAATCTGTATTTTATGCTCTATGCCATGAAGTCAAAAATGATAATTTGTCGACAATCCTCGTTTCAGCTTTAGTGGATGCTACACAAATTGAAGGATCAGTGGGAACCCTGGTTAAAAAGAGAATGCCAGGTTGTGTTAAAAGAGTCCAATGCGAATGGGTTAAAAAAATAAAAAATAGGGGAAAAAAAGTAACAAAAACCTAAAATGCTGGACGGCCATGTGGAAAAATAACACCCAAAGCAGAAAAAACGAGAAATTAAAGTTTGAAGGCATGCAAGACAAAGGGAGGTGAAGTGGAAAAATACTTGAAAGAAGCAGACGTACCATTAGTCGGATGCTTTGCAAACGACACAGAAAATCGTTTTACTGCCGGCATAGACAACAACTCTGAGGAAATAAAAAAAATAAAAATAAAAATTCACGAAGTGTTACTATGAACCACAGTCGTTCTGAAATCATGTTTTATATTTCCTGTGCTTTTTTGTTGTGCACACTAAAAAAGGGTTATCCATCACCTACCCTAATTAATGATTTACCAACCAAACAATTGTTTTCATTTATGAAGTTTGTTTTCTGATTCAAACAGAGGCTTTAGTTAAAACAGGAAAACTTGATGCTTGAATATGCTTAAATATGTGAGACCAACACATCAATGGAACATCATCAGGTGATAAAGTGAGATAAAAATGATTCGAACTTAAAAATACACACCAAAAAAGTGCATGACTATAAAAAACAGGCCCAACATTCTTCATTATGCTTTCCATTTTCCTCACATCAAGTCAAACAACCAGGAGCTAAACAGTCATTCCAGTAATTTCTGATCTGATCTGCTGTTTACAAAGACCTAAAGATGACAATGAATAATGTCAACTGGTCCTTACTAGGATTAAGAAGCTACAGCATGGAGAAATGAACGAACCCACCACTTTAAGAACATGCATTAGGACATCAGGATGTGGAGCTCTGACTGAATCAGAAGCAGAATGGTTCCTTTCATTCCTGAAAACGAGGAGTAACAAGATGGATGACAAAGACCAACAATGAGCCTTCATGTGAGGCATGAAGGATGGAGGCTGAGGAGAAAGAGTCTAAATGAGACCACGCTGACACCTACTGGACAAAAACAGACTACACAAGCAGAACACAGCATGGAGGCCTTATTTTGTTACATCACTTGCTTCCTTTCTTTTTTCTACTCACATATAATGCTACTAAAATGGTTTGATGGATATGATCAAAGACGCAGGCCAAACATGTAGAGAGTGGACTGAAAACTGAATTATTATTTTAAAGCTGACTGGGATTTGAACTAAGTGGTTTGAAATCAGCAGCTTACTTCACTTTAATGTAGGGCTGGGCAAAATATTAACTTTTTAATAAATTGCATATCAATATTTTTAATAAAATATCAATTGTGACAAAATAACTTGCTCTATTATAACTAGATGTTGTATTAATGTTTGTCCTCCGATTATTAAATCAATAAAATACAGCAGCACACTGCAAAAGATGTCAGGTTTATTATCAGAGATACACAGCCTCTTGTTTATAACTGCTAATAACCTCTTCAGACCCAAGTTTCAGGTTGGTGTGCATTTTTCCCTCCTCATCTATTTAGATCAGGGGACCTGATGTAAAGCAAAACTGTTTTGGAACAATTAGCAAATTTTAAAAAGTTTTGAAGCTAAAAATAAGAGTTAAATATTTTTTGTTAAAAGAAAGTGTCCTAAATAAGGACAACAGAAATGTATAGTGCAGTGAGGACAAAGGGCCTCATACAAGAACCGTACGTACGCACAGGTTTGTTCTTAAACTGTGCGTACGAGTGATTTAGGAGAATTTGTGGCATTCACCAATGTTTTCGTATTCTAAGATTTTTTTCAGATATGAACAAAANACCAGGTTATTCCATCAATGATTGTTTCTTCCCTGATGGCACGGACATATTCCAAGAGGACAATGCCAGGATTCATGGGGCTCTCATTGTGAAAGAGTGGTTCAGAGAGCATGAGACATCATTTTCACAAATGGATCAGCTCCAGAGAATCTTTAGGATGTACTGGAGAAGGTCAGACATCCTCAATGTAAGATCTTGGTGAAAAATTAATGCAACACTGGATGGAAATAAATCTGGTTACATTGCAGAAGATTATCCTAACTATGCCACAGAGAATGTGTGCTGTAATCAAAGCTAAAGGTGGTCCAACCAAATTGTGTGGCCTTATTTTTTAGCCAGGCGGTGTATAACATTAGAGGCCTCAAAGATAGAAACAACCCTAAACTAAACTAAACTGTAAAGTTAGCTGTTTTGTCATGTGTAGCTGTAAACACACATAGGTGACCACATTAGATTAGATTAGATGGACCTTTATTGTCAGAGCACAATGAAATTACAGATACATACTTGTAAGGCTCAAGTAAGAGACACAGCTGAGGCACATTCAGTAAAGAGTATGTAACTTGTCTAAGGGGCACTTCCAATCTCACTGAGATGAAAACTGTGTTGATCACCATAATTCAAAACAAATCAATCAATGATTGCTAAAGTCAACAAGTATAGACAATGACATGCCCATAAACAGCTGCAGAAAGTTGTAACTGTGGAACAATGGCAGCTTCTGTGCTGTTGAGGACATTGACAATATAAGAAATGGGAGGAAGTGTGTTTTAAGGGATTACAACAATAATGAAGTCTGGCTTATTATCAAGCGTGTCAAAGGCCATCATTTTAGTTATTCTTTGCTAAACTAGTCCCAGAGTTACAGAGGCATATTTATTAATAAGAGGGGACAGGATGGTTTTAAGTAACACGTTCAGCTGCACTCTACACAAAGTAAATTTAATTGTAGGATGGAAAGGTCTGCAGAAACGTGTGTATTGTTTCAGAAATCTAAATAGTTCTGTGAGTGTGTCCTTTCAGTATAAAAGCTGCACACTCTTTCATACATGAGGCCCCTGATGATTTTTATTGTGTCCCGTTTAATAAAACATTAGAGTTAAAAAAATATAAAACACTGTATTTTTATGGCTGCAATTACAAAATTAAAGCCAGGAAATGGAAAGAAAATCCAAGATGATTAATTATCAACCTCATTAATACATTAGTGAAGCATCCTCATTATTCATTTATTTACTGACTGAAGAAACATTAACATCCAAATGAAAAAAATGAGGAAAAACAGCATTGGAAGAGACATTAGTTATATATATATATAATAAGATATATATATATATACATACATACACACACACACACACACACATATATATATACACATATATATATACATATATATATATATTTAAGCATGTATTTATATATATTTAAGCATATTGTCCAGCCCTACTTAACCAAACATCTGACGGTCGGCAGCACGTAGTCAAATGGTTTGAGTAAAAAAACCAAAATCAAAAAGAATTCATGATATTAGAATGAATTAAAGCTTATTAAAGGAGATTTGTAACTGGTTCACACATGTAGTATAGACACATACAGTATACTTAAAGCATTTCAGAATGAATGAACACATTTCTAACTTCTCAGCCTAACGTTTCATAAAACTTGAACTCTGATAGGTCTAAAAACGAAACATGATAGCCACTGCACAGTTTACAGAGAAGCTTTAAAAAGGATGTGACAGCAGGTAAACTCAAAAAGACTCCACWAGTAAATTCAACACTTTAATGTACCCTAACATTCTTTGCATTATCAGAAACCACGAAGCAGAGTYGTGTCTTTAGTTTGACCAACTGTGGGTTGTTGACATAAAAACTAAGGTAATCATTGTGTACAGAAACCTTTATCAGACCCAAGGCAGCCTGCACTCAACCTAATAAAAAATAAACATGGCTAAAGTGAAATGGGAAAAAAAGTGGGGATAAAAATGTAAATTTGATGACTACAATGCGAATGAACTTAAAAATGGAAATACTCCTAAAATATAAAAACTACAACTTATTTTTATACATGAAACGTGTACTGGTAATTTTCACACATTGTCTTTCTTTAAATCCTAAGCCTCACTATTAATATTGAGTTAAAACAGTTTAGTGCAATGCTTCTTTGACTTTCCTAACAGGAAGTGTGTGTGACTGATCTGCTGGTACCCTGTGAGCTTTGTGATGGAGCGCAGTGATCTAAGACACGTACCGTCTTTGTAGGACAGACTGCCGGTGGAGAATTTTTTGCGGTGTACGCGTGCGTAGTCCTGCAGGTTAGGCGCGCTAGAAGAGCCACCTAGGACAGTTGTGCTGAAGAGCCCGGCGCACTGAGAGCCTGCGAGGGGTGCGGGGGATGGTTAGTCATCGCCACATGACATGCCGTTACTTAAAACAGCTCATCAGCACAAGTCAGAGAAGAAAGAGAGGAAAGAAGAGAAAGACAAGCAGAAACCACTCAAAAGAACATGCCACCTTAACCAGAATTTATCTCCCTCTTTTTTCCTTAAAAGACAAAAGAAGGTGAAGACTTTTCAGAAAACTAATGGCAAAAAAAACCTAAGTTGATCCTCTTTAATTCCTAGATTTTATGAATAAAGGCACCATGAAAAATCATCTGGTTCTTACTAGCTCCTAAAATAAGATGAAACTAAATTCAGAGAAACAACACATCATCGTACACTGTGTCACTCTTTTAACTAAAATAAAACTAAAACTGTGAAAAACTAAGTTTCCTTCATGATACAATTTGTAGGAACTCGTTTAGCAACAATAACTAACTCTTCAGCATTAACTTTATCTCTAAAACACTGAACAGTTTTTGACCTCAGGATGTAATAATGAAATAATAAAATTCTTTGATTTCCATATTCTGTCCAATGACTTGTTACAATATGTCTAGTGGAACATCAACTCCTGGAGGATTAGTAGCTGACTTTAATGTTTCCAAACTTTTCTTGCTGTAGAATKATGGGCTTCAAATATTCTCAAAATGACCTTTAACACTTCACAAATGATGTCTTTCCTCTCTGTGTTGAGTTAATGCACACCTAAAACAGGACATGTGTTTCTATAGAGGAGCTCACAGTCGCTGATGATCAGTTAATCAATACATTTGATCAGTTGCACCTGGCTTATACTTACTATCTTCAATTCTGTGAAAGCTGTAAGGATGAACTTAATTTTTCACACCTCTCATTTTTARTTAAATAAATAATGACACAGTGTAATGCATTGTTCACATGAAGTTGTATTAACTTCATTATAAGACCTGGGGCTTCATGTATGAACAGTGTGTACACACAAAAAGGTTGTGTACGCCATGTTTCACACACTTACGTAGGTATGAAAATGAAAGTTGTGTTAAAGTGTGTGTAAATATGTTCAAACCTTTGACCTGCCATGAGATTTCAATTTAGTTCAGTTTAATTATAGTAGCACCAAATCACAACAAACACCAGCTCAGGGCAATGTACAAATAACAATCAATCTAAAGAAGCCAGCAGGTTGTGTTGAATGTGCAATCTGTCCCAAAAACCTTTGTCAGTTGACGGTATCCAACTACAAAACACTGAAACTCACCTAAATACACTGAAACATGACTCCACTCAGAACTAAAGGAGCATTTAAAGTTTAAACACACAGTTTCATGATGTTAATCATATATGGTTTAAAGCCAAACAATGAAACCACATTTCACCAGATACAACATGACTTACACTGCCTGGCCAAAACAAAGTGTCCACCTGGATCTAACTAAGGTCTATAATGTGAGGTCACTGCAGGTGGTCAGGTCCAGGTTCAGCAACATTCTGTGCTCCAAGAATGAGGTCAGCTGACTACCTGAATATACTGAATGACCAGGTTATTCCATCAATGATTGTTTCTTCCCTGATGGCACGGACATATTCCAAGAGGACAATGCCAGGATTCATGGGGCTCTCATTGTGAAAGAGTGGTTCAGAGAGCATGAGACATCATTTTCACAAATGGATCAGCTCCAGAGAATCTTTAGGATGTACTGGAGAAGGTCAGACATCCTCAATGTAAGATCTTGGTGAAAAATTAATGCAACACTGGATGGAAATAAATCTGGTTACATTGCAGAAGATTATCCTAACTATGCCACAGAGAATGTGTGCTGTAATCAAAGCTAAAGGTGGTCCAACCAAATTGTGTGGCCTTATTTTTTAGCCAGGCGGTGTATAACATTAGAGGCCTCAAAGATAGAAACAACCCTAAACTAAACTAAACTGTAAAGTTAGCTGTTTTGTCATGTGTAGCTGTAAACACACATAGGTGACCACATTAGATTAGATTAGATGGACCTTTATTGTCAGAGCACAATGAAATTACAGATACATACTTGTAAGGCTCAAGTAAGAGACACAGCTGAGGCACATTCAGTAAAGAGTATGTAACTTGTCTAAGGGGCACTTCCAATCTCACTGAGATGAAAACTGTGTTGATCACCATAATTCAAAACAAATCAATCAATGATTGCTAAAGTCAACAAGTATAGACAATGACATGCCCATAAACAGCTGCAGAAAGTTGTAACTGTGGAACAATGGCAGCTTCTGTGCTGTTGAGGACATTGACAATATAAGAAATGGGAGGAAGTGTGTTTTAAGGGATTACAACAATAATGAAGTCTGGCTTATTATCAAGCGTGTCAAAGGCCATCRTTTTAGTTATTCTTTGCTAAACTAGTCCCAGAGTTACAGAGGCATATTTATTAATAAGAGGGGACAGGATGGTTTTAAGTAACACGTTCAGCTGCACTCTACACAAAGTAAATTTAATTGTAGGATGGAAAGGTCTGCAGAAACGTGTGTATTGTTTCAGAAATCTAAATAGTTCTGTGAGTGTGTCCTTTCAGTATAAAAGCTGCACACTCTTTCATACATGAGGCCCCTGATGATTTTTATTGTGTCCCGTTTAATAAAACATTAGAGTTAAAAAAATATAAAACACTGTATTTTTATGGCTGCAATTACAAAATTAAAGCCAGGAAATGGAAAGAAAATCCAAGATGATTAATTATCAACCTCATTAATACATTAGTGAAGCATCCTCATTATTCATTTATTTACTGACTGAAGAAACATTAACATCCAAATGAAAAAAATGAGGAAAAACAGCATTGGAAGAGACATTAGTTATATATATATATAATAAGAAGGATAAGGCAGGAGTAAATATAGCTGATACCAGTACCTGATTATTTGTTTAGGCTGCTTTAGACATTAGAATTGAGTAACTGATCATTTATCAAACATATCTAAACATATAAATGCAAAACTGAATTTGTGGTTGACTTTTATCCTATTGTGGAGGATTACTATTAATAAAGAGAAGTGACAGAAATGATAATGCCTGTGGATTTATCCACATTCATCAACAAATCAGAACATTTTTTCACCAAGGATTTTCACCACATTTAGTTCACAGGAATGAACCAGAGGTTATGCCACACTTACCTTCTTAATGCAAAACAACTAAACTGTATTCTGAAAATATCTAAAAGAGACAATGGCCTTGTCTCCCCAAAAACAAATAAAATCTTAAGTTCTGAAATCTGGCCCACAGATATAATGAGGTTTGATGAAACTTCACAGCTCACTGGTAAAGACTGAACTAAGAGTTTTCAAATGTACTTAAAACCAAGCAAACACTCACATGCAAACTTTGAGTTCCATTAGAGATACAGTATTATGTTTCTACATTATTAAGTAGAACATTTCAGTCCAAAGTCAAATAATTAATGTTTCCACCAAAGTTATAGAACAAGTATCAAACCAGCACAATTATAACTTTTTATACATATAGTTGCCAAGATAACAGAGCAGTCTTCACCTACCTAATCCACTTTGTTTCATCTCAGGAGACTGACGTGGGCAGAATGAAAACAGGCGATAACTGCCACCTTTGGAAACAGATGTTTCTGACAGGACCTGACAGAAAACAGACAAGCAGGCATCATTCAGACAAAAAAAMAAAACATAATAATGGTGTGGAGAGGATGGCTATAGGGGGAGAAGGGAGGCCATCAATTAAGAATTAAAAAAAAAGGCATCATTCAGACATTGAGCGTCATGAAAGAACCGTTCATACGAACAGATTTGCTCTTAGGTTGTGCGTACGAGTGATCTAAGAGAACTTGTGACATTCACCAAGTTTCTCATAATGTGAGATTTTTTCAGATATGAAAAAAATTTACATGCAGTCCAAACCTGTCATATATTTCACCTGCAGTCAGTCTGCTGTTATCCAGATGGATTTTCTTCACAACTTTATATTTCATTAGTTTTAAGGTATTTTTAGTTGAAAATAAATCACACTTCATAATTATGTTAACAAGAGGCTATTCTGTTTGAATTTGAATTATAACTTTAAATGTATTAATGTACACTCTTAGAAATAAAACATGGGGTTAGTAGGTACAGCTCAAAATCAAGAGCTTTTTCAGCWTGAAAAATTACTTTTGTTACATATCCTCATAATATTGAGTTGATAACTTAATTTTATTAAGTATTCTGCATTGAAATAAATAAAACATCCTTAACTCAAGTGACAAACATATTTTGGAGACATTTTAAAACGCTTTCTTGATTCTTCAGAAGCACATCTGACACCACTTGGTGTGTGGGAGACAGCCGGTGACTGACACATCAGACGATCCGGGCTGTGGTGCTGTGTCTAACTGCTCTTCTTCTGAATAAATGAAAATTATTTAACAGTTGTTTCCTCATTTCTTCCACATAACTTAAATTAAAAATATTTGACCAAAGGAAAACCGGAGCAGGACTAGAGAGATATGAATACGATTTAGATTTTTGTTTCTGTGAGTGTGTACGACCCACAGGAGACACGACATTAAGAAAAGTCGTCATTTCATTCCTTGTCTTTAGCAGCTCCTTTAATTGCACAGCTGACGCTGCTAAAAAAAGACAGATTTTCTTTTCTGGATCTCTGACAGCAGGACTTCAATCTCTGAACATGTGAAGTTCTTCTTTTTGCTTTTCGCTGTCATTTTCATGAATGAACACTTCCTGATATGTGGGGCAGGAAGCGTAGCCTTATATGGTGTTTTTGGGGTGGTAATTATGTTAATCTCCTCTCCTCGTGCACCTGGATATGTACGGGTGGGATTCATCAGTTTACCCAGCTCATTTTTTCAAATTTACACACTTTTCCTGAAGACAGAAGCGTTTGCTGAATCTGACGTGGCATGTTCGTACGAACCCTTCATATAAACAAAAGTAAGAGAAATTTTGGATAAAAATATAAAAATACAAAAATGTTCCTGCATGAGGCCCAATGTTAGCGAATGGACACAATAGCTGTGTTTCCATCCAATTTTAATTTTAATTTTGAGCAAATTTTTAAAATTTCGCAAAAAAGGGAAAAGAGAAGAAATGCAAATCAGACATGTTTCCATCAACTGGCTTGAAGTGAATCAAGCAGGCTACACAAAGTGTCATTACATCATACGCACGGCTGTAGTAAACAGGAAGCAGAAGTCGCAAACTCACTGGGATACACATCTCAGGACAATGGAGAGAAGTTATCAGGAACGTGTTGCTACTATCAGTCATATCTTTCAGTTTTGGTGATGTTACATGCTGTCTGGAGACGTAGAAAAAGAAATGTAATTCTCTTCACGTTACGGGAATAACTGAGAAGATGCCGACAGCGGGGGGAGGATCCTGCTACAGTCGCTCTGGTACCAGGACCGGACAGACAGCAGGAACAGCTGATCAACCATGTGAGGTAAATATTCGCTATGTCAGAACTTATTCAGCAAATGTGTTTCCACATTTCTCTCTCCTTTTGCACATTAACTCTTTTTCGAAAAACCCCAAAATCACCTCAAGCGAGCGTAAAAACTTTTTTTCAAAATAGAGGAAGGTTTTTCGAATCATGCCRTTTCCACTCACCTTTTCTGACGCAATATTTCAAAATGTGCATTAAAAAACGCTGATGGAAACACAGCTAACAAAAGTACAAGTCTCTAGCAAGTGCAGCTGGTTTTAAACAGAGAAAACGATTGGACAAGCAATAAGCAAAAAACAAAGAAAAGCAACTCTCAGTCTATGAAACAGGCTGACTATGCTCAAAGGCAAACAGAAATTTAGGATTTTAGTGTTTATAACTGACTATAAAATCAAAAAGATCAAAACTGATCTTTACTACGCACAGAATAAAATTATGACTCAAAGATGTTTAGAGGAATGTTTTATATATAAAAAGTTCTATGCATTTTCAAAAACCTTCAACAAATAAGGCAAGGCAAGCATATTTTTCTTCCGCAGGCTGATCAGCCTCGTTTGTGTGTTCATATTCAGTGAGCAGCAGGTTTAAAAAGAAAAGAAAAACTAACAGTTTTAACATCAATAAAATAACTGCTGTGATAACAACACAATAACATTGTTTTAAACATTGTGTTTCTCCCTGTGCAGAGCCTGAGAGTCTCACCTCCATTGATCCAGTCTTATGGTTGCGAATGAGCGGTGACCTCCTCTGAATGGTGATTGGTTCTGAAACCGGAAYGGCACGATCGGTTTCATCTCGTGACAGGTCCTCCAAGCTGGCAAGGTCAGCCTTTTTTTGYCCATTCTGTGTAAGATGAGAGAGATAACTGAAGCTACGTGCAGCTTTTTACAGGAAAAAACTGTTCAGGAACAAATGTCTGGATGAGATTTTACTTGTCGTAACACCTCCGCTGAGGCAGGCCTGAAGCCAAACCCAGTTGGGGCGTTCTCCTCCTCTTCAACGTTTTTAACACCTGGACTAAAGTGGAGCTCTACATGGAAACGTTCCTCAGATGAGATGTCCTTAAAACAAACAAGGTTTCAAATAAAGTTTTAATACATTGATGATTCCAAAATCAGTTGCATTTTGTGACTTTGAGGGTAGTAAAAGCCATTTTTTATATTAAAAAGCATCTGCACAGAAGTTCTCAGCTTCAGATTTTGATGTTCATAAAATTGCACTTTAAATTAGTTACCAAGAAATTCTACACAAAGTAATGATGCTGTAACTGTAATTAAAAACATTAAACATTTGGTTTATTTTTAAAAAATGAACCAAATGGACAGGCCATCAGATGTTACCAAACATTACAACACGATGAACACCTAAACCAACAAGAACGCACCTTATTGTTGTCCTCATACAGCATGATGACAATCTGAGTCATGTAGTTAAGTTCAGGCACTGCACTGAGGTAATCCATGGCTCGCTTCCACTGCTGGTCCTTTTCTTCCTGTTGCAAACAGATCCAAATAGGGAGAAAAAATATATATCTTACTTTCATCCATAAAGCTTGGGAAACTTTCAAAGATCTGCAGGATTATTGTACGCTCACATCAAGAAGGCCTCCATATCGGAAAATGCTGAGAAGGGAGTGGACGTGACTCTCACTGGTGAAATATAACCGTGTCCTTACATGACGGCCTGGCGACAGCACACCACGAGAGTACCTGCAAACAACAGGACAAACACAACCCATCACATCAAAACAAGGCAGGGTGATGGATTAGTGTTTAGCACTGCTGCCTCACAGCAAGAAGGCCTTAGGTTCAATCCCTGGTGTTTCCTCCCACAGTCCAAAATCTGACTCTAGGTTCCCTTTAGGCCCAGTCCTCCCTTGTATAATAAATGTGATTTCAATACAATTTGCCTGATTAAAGAAGGGTAAATAAATTAAACAAATTATTGAGTCTGTAATAAAACATATGAGTGATTGGGTGATTTTCAAATATTCAAGTTTATTTAAAACTGACAACTTGAAGAATTACAACAACTATCAAGACCATCGTTTTTTAAATTTTTTTTTTTTAACTTTTACACATCTGGCATCTGGCAATAACACAATATGTTGTTTCCTAACAATGCT